CGGATGCCGAAGGCTATAAGCGTCCGGAATTTCAGACTTTTTATACATTGACTTTATGGGGAACTTGACGGTGCCACAGATGAGTCTGGGAAATTGGGCATGTCCGGAATTTCTGGCATCTGGGAAATCAGGCGTTGACTGTATACCTTGAAATGTAAACTACAAACAAAAGAAAAGGGTACATTACATTCTTGTTCTTCTGATGTCAAACTGTTTTGCCCCGACGGGTCTTCTCAGTTTTGTATTCGTGGTATTGGCAAACCGCTTGCGCCAAGTCGGCGAGGTGGCATATGGTGGTTGGCGCATCCCATTTCACTACTGATAGCAATTGGTTTCCAGAAGTTGGTTTCACTAGAAGACTAGCTTGAACCACATAGAGTTCCGCACAGTCAATGTTACTGCCGCAACATGAACAACGGTCTAAAACTACGCTCTAGATGAAAATTTGAGTTTAAATAGTGATCATGTAGATGCATATTTGGAATATAGACATTTAGGCTTAAACCCCAAAAACAGGCATTAAGAGGCACTATAGAAACACTATAAAACCTTTTCTCATTGGCTAATTCATGCTCATATATTAAGATGGTGTGATAGAAACGCAAGAAACAAAACATGCATTTGCCTAAAATCCGGTCTCTGCTAATCACATGCCAAAGAATAGCCTGAGTGATTCAAGATGACTTTGAGCAATCAAGATAATAGCAAGCAATATATTGCTGGTCTCATTCGTCTAAGTTTTGCCACTATTTTTTTATGTTTGATTCAAGTTACCTGAAACATCCAGTATATGTGTGTGTTAGGTACTTTATGCCAGAGTCAAAATGAAGAATTTCATGCGGCATGCCTTTTGATATTAAATGGTATGCATCTGGGCATTCTTTTCATTATTGTGCCAGCAATTGAAAATTGAAAAGTCATGTATGCATTGCAAGTCATTCCCCTTTGTCAGTTTGTAATAATTATTTTGCATAGAATGTTGTTGGGCAGCCTGCATGTGCATGGGAAACAATCATATACAAGAGTTGTACTAAAAGTAAGGTTCCTTATGAGCTACAGCCTTGAGGGAATGTTCTAGACTAAATCCGACAACAGTGCCATGAACAGTGGCTCCTCCTCTCTCGAGCTCACCCCTACACGATTCGCTGCGTCGCTCAGTGTTCGCTTAGAAACTATCAGAGATGCAAGTGTTGATCGCTGCTTTCATCAAGTGCGAGGTTCAAGCAGTAATTAGTTTTCTTCACACAAGGAAGTTACCACCTACGGAGATTCATGGGTGAATGACTGTGGTTCATAGTAAAGAGTGCATGTCCATTCAGCACATCTGCAAATTGTGCAGGGAGGCAACCTCTGCCTGTTGTAGGGAGGAAACTTCTCCTTGTTGTAGAGAGGCAACATCCTCTTGTTACAGGAAGACAACAAAGAGAAATTGTTGAACTCTATCTTCATAAGAGATGAAACGAAGTGTTTCATTACACCCCTGAAACAAAACAACAATCTCATCAGTAGCGCCACTCTAGTTCACCGCCACCGCCCTTCAAGAGTGACAATGAAGCTAAAGCAGAGCTCATATGCTTCCTCATCGGGTTGGTGGGAGACTTTTTCGACTTAGGAATGCAAAAGCTGAAGCATAGTCTTCAAAACAGTCTAAAAAAAATCGAAACTATGTTGCAAAATAGATAAAGATCTACACTTTTCAACGATGTATCAATAATAATAAACAATGTTTGCTAAGCGTAAATAATATGGGAACCTTACTTTTGGTACAACCCTCGTACTTCCAGCAGGGTGCACGTAACAAATAAAACAGTGTTTATTGCTGTTTAACTCTACATGTACTAACTACTTGCATTTTCAAAATACTGGCAGAGAGCAAGGAGAGGAAAAAAATAAAGAAGTACGTGCATAGATAAAAGCATGATAAAACTTTTCTAAACTCAAACTCTGACATCTTAAAATACGGATTGAGTAGAAAATGTTTTCTGACACAATGTCGACATGTATTTTTAGTCCTTATCTCAAAAAGCTTTTGTATTGTGTACATAGTAACGCAGAATACTAACTCCAAAAAACATGACCAAAAGATCACTTGCTAAAGAGTTCTTGTTTGTGTGGCTGTGTCAGTGTCAAGAAAATGAGTACAGAATTTAGTGTTATCTTTTGTATTGCTGGGTGTGGGTTACCTTGGCAGTGGGATAAGCGTCACAATCTAATAAATCCCGGCTGCGGCGGCTGCATTTCCGATGGAGACGGAAATGTTGTAGGCCCGTGTGCTCAGATTTGGGTGCACGTTAAAGAACTTTAGGTGGTCTAAAATTCCGGAGCCCTCCACTACGGCGTCTCTTATAATCATATGGTGGTTTGGGACGTTAAACCCCACATATCAATCAATCAATCAATATAATAAAAAGAGAGCATACATCACGCTACAAAGCCAAATATAACCAGGCCATGCTACCACTTTATCTTTACACTGGGCTTTCTGCATCTTAGGCTCATGCGCTTTCTCTGGTGCTTGTTGCCACTTCTTTGTGGCTTAGCAAGCATGTGAGTCAACATCATTTTAGCAAAATTATGTCTCGATAAGTAGGCTGACATTTAGCTTGCAGTGTAGAAAGAAATAGCAATTTTATAAGAGCGCTTGCTTTAGACTTGCAATGTAGAAAGAGAGATTGCAGCTTGTTAAGGACACATGCTTCATGCTTCTGCTATAATGAAGCATACAGTGCCTAACTTGTAGTGTCTGGTAAAAGGCATGATGTGCTCTTACACAGTTCATTTTCTGTCTTTAGGTAAGAAGCTTATTATGCTGAATTATGCTGTAGAAACACTGCATCAGCTTTGATTGCTTGTAACAGATTGAGAACTCTGAATGATGGGCTTAAAGTTGCATAAAAGTCACTTAGTGCCAGGTAACAGAATCTGTTGCCCATAAATGGTAATGTGTCCACTACTGAGGTTTGAAAAATCATTGGGAATTTCACTGATGCCATTTTAGAAAGGCTGCATGCCATTTATGAATGGCTAACAGGCTTCATTCGTGTCATTCGTTTATTCATTCATTTGTGTCAATTGCTTATTTTTAAACAATGCTTGTCCTGAGTTTTTTCCCAATTTGTAGAGTTTCGAGTAAACAGCATTTCACTGCATCTATATGTGCTTTACACAAAGATACAACTCTCTCACGATGCGAACTACTCAGGGGCACATCCTGTGCAAGTTCGCCTTTGTAACCTCAGATTTCTTCATTGTTTTAATAACCGTGTTATAACAGTGAAAAAGTAGTTTGCAGTGCATTAAATAAACAGCAGGGCACCCTGCTAGTGTTCTTTGTTTACATGTGTGATCTTGCATGATGATACACTTTTTAATGAAACCAAGCTTTATGGTTGCTGTATAAGCTTATAATGCTAGAAATATTTCGTGCTGATAAACTATGAAAGAAAGGGGGAGGGGTATCTATAATGATGGTGCGGGCATACCAGATGCTGGCAGCATACATTGAGTGCAGAGCCATGATGCAACAAAACATGGCACCAAACCAGTGAAGAAGGATGGTGAGCAGAAAACAAATCACAGTGTTGATGTTCTGTATTACAACAACCATCATATTGTTATGAGACAATATGATGCATAGTTTCGCGTGTATCTTCACGAAACAATATTAACACAAGAAACCTATATATACATCTTGCGCCTGGGCAGTTCTTGTATTTTTACTGAAATCACATTTTTAGGTTTTTTTTTGCTTGGCCTGCTTTAAAGTCATGTTTTTCTTTAATGACTGAAAAATTAAACCTGGACAATTTGTAAAACTTAATCATTCCCAGCAAGCTTTTGCCTATGTTCTGTGCAGCCAAGTTGTTCAATTTTGCAACCCTGCACAAAAATAAAAAAGCTGACCGTGCTTAGATATAGTTGGTCAATTTGACCGTATTGGCATAAAAGAAGCTTAGGCAATGCTTTGCCAGCCGCAGGATGTCAGAAAAGCACTGGTAAAAAGGTGCAAAATCTGTACTCCTATGAGCATGTTAGGAAAGTTAGCTTCATCGAAAGAATTCACTGCTTGTTTAGACGTTTTCACTCAAGGCTCCGGGCGCTGCCACAGTCCTCTCTGGACTGTTGTTAGTGCGTGTGACCCCCCGAAAAATGCGCTGCCGAAGCTGTGACATCGATTTTTGTACTCTCGTGCAACAGCCCAGAAAGGAGGAAATCCTCCTCTTCGTAAAAAAATGTCCATGATAGACACAAGCTCAAGTTGGCCATAAGTCAAGGCCCTAGTAATTTTTCAAAACCAACATTGAATGTAGCTATATGTGCAGTTTGTCTAGTTTGTGGAAGTATTTCCATTTTAGTGTTTGAATTCATAGGCATCTAATTTGGAAGTACAGCACTGTGAGTGGTTCTAGGCATTTATGACATAGGATTAGTTGTGCATTACGTCTGTGGGCTCAGATCAAAGTTTGGCTAATATTGCTTCTACGAAATTTTCTTGATGGTAGCATGTCTTCCATCCTTTGAGGACAGATTCAGGGTGATGCAACTTGTTCTCATTCATATTCTATTCACATGCCATTTGAGAGTCAGTGGATGGCTAGAAGCACACCTCTCTCGGTACCCTCATTTTTGAGACAGTTCAATGTTTGGCACCAAGTGTGTATTCATTTGCCTTTCATTTTCTGGGATCCTTGTGTTTACGATGTGTGAAAATTTGTGTTCCAAGGATTCAAGATCCCAAGACACTCGAGAAAACAAGATCTTGTCATCTTGTTATCATTATACTTTTGTAATACTTACCTAGACAGCTTGTGAATGGCTGGTAAATTGTCGATTTTACTAGCTGTGGCAATGCCTGCTGTAATTGTATCTGCATGATTTACACAGAACATCAATAACATCAAATACAATAATACCAAACTGTCTATTGCTGAAGAATAATAACAATAAATAAGCTACTTTTGTATGTTGCATTGTATTTATTGATTTGTATTTTTTTTCAGATTTCTGTAAATATTTCAAAAACAAACAAGACAGAGGTAAGGAGAAGAGGGAGGCTTGAAGTTATAAAAAATCACTGAACAGAGATTGTTGCTGAAGCCAGTGATTCATAGCTCTTTTCCTGATGAAAACAAGGCCACTTGTTGAAACCTTGGCTCCAGCGGCATTCCCTATTTAACAAGTGTTTGTTATTTAAAAAACCAAAGTTTTCACATTCACTCTCACACTGCAGTGCCATATTTCTGGGGATTGTTTTTTACACTTAAGTGTTGCGAAGTCTAGCAAAAATGAACCAAGTATCTACTAATGTTGCCACTGGGAAAAAGGTCTTTTTTAAATCATGTGTGAGTAATTGGGGCATTTGGCAGCAGAATTCAAGCTCCATGTCAATAGTACTAATCTCTAGAATTACTGAAATCTATATGCCGACTCTGAAATTGAGTTTTTGTTTCATGGTTATGTGTCTTCACATGGTGATCAGAGAGGGTGTCTCACAAAGAAATTGCTTGAGAGCAGTCACGCCTGTGTAGCCTACCCGAACAAGGCGTTATTAATTGTGATAGGCGAGAAAAGAGTGTGTATACCACTTAGCTGAGTCACAAAGCACAAAATAACTGTTAGAGGTCTAAACACGCTGGCAAAGCTTAGTCGTGATGAGAGAAAAAATGTCTGCATTAACATCTTGCATGCAGATGATCCTCAGGGTCAATTGCAGGTGCTCATCGGTCATCCTTGACTAGAGAGCTGACTTGCTCAAGTTTAGCAAGGAGAACAGCTGTTCTACTGAGTAGGTACTACCAAAGATAACAATGATGCTAGCAGATAGTCGGCATAGTGACTTAACCCATTTGCAAAAGATAATCCTAAGCACCTCATTCACTAGCTTTTCGGGCCACATGGAGAGTAAAAACATCTTTCTTGCTCACTGATGAATTCATTTTATGAACTGCAAGTCGCGTCCTGGCCAATACTGAGAAGAATTACACCATCACTCAACAGGAGTGTCTAGCTGTCATGTGGTCCGTTCAAAACTTTCAACCTTGGCAGTGACTATGTGATGGGGCCCATTAAACACAGTACTATCGTTAGAGTGAGGGGGCCTGTCAGCTAGTGTATACGTGACTACAGTGACGGGGCCCGTCAGCACAGTATTATTGTTAAAGTGAGGGGGCCCATAAGCGTAGTAAAATTGTAACAGTGACGGGGCCAGTCATAATAGTGATGCAGCTATAGCGATGGCCCCATCATCATAAAACAATGACTACGGTGAGGAAGCCCATCATCGTAGTTTAATGGTAAAAATGGGGGGGGGGGGGGGACTATTGCTGTAAATACGTATTTGTTTTAGATGCCACTGTCTAGCTGTTCTGGTGGTGTAGTGGCTTCACACACAGTTGGGGAAGCGGTCGTGACACAGGTCGTCAGTTCGAATTACCATTTTCGAATGTATTACTTCGTTTTTTTTTTTTTTTTTCAAAGTATTGTTGCCAGAAAATCATGTCGTCGTCTTCGGCGGTTGTTAGTCAGCCTATCGTTGATTTCATGGCGCAGTGTCGTTGGTGTCTGACTTCGGTGTGAATCGCGCTCTTTTTTATTTTCATCTCTCTATATTGTTTCAAGTATTGTTACTTGTTTTTAAATGATAATCATGTTCATTCATTGGGGATATATCTATCAATTTTTTTTACGTCCAACGTGGAATGAAGATCTTTCCTGATGATTTCCGATTGATACTGTGCTGGGCGAGCAGATTCTGTTGTATGCGTGCTAACTAACCTTATTATCGCATTGAACAGCCACCCTCGGTGGGGTTTCTGTCCCTTGTATTTATATCGCAGCTCTAACTAACAATTTGTTACACATGATATGATGTTCCCAGATTGATTCGTTTGACGTATTTTTAGTGTCGCAGTATAAAGACGACATATGGGCTGATGTAGGTAGTACAGGTCAACATAAAATTTGTTCCGACCATGAGGGCTGTGTAGTTGTACAGTATGCTTCATTAAGTCCCAAAACCACAATACATATGACTAGAATACATGCGGCTCCAACTCTGGGCCTACTTCACCTGAAATCGCACACACAGACTTCATGTCATTAAATCGGCCACTTTAACAAGGGGATATGGATGTCACTTTCGTTCCATGAATGTGTGCTATTGCTGTGCAAATGTAGATAGACATTTGAGCTCTCTACGGTGCAGTAGATACTCGTACGGTGGTGTCCTCTCTGTAGCTGTTTTCCCATCCTGAGACAATGCTTTTTTCGTGGGTTTGAAAGGTGTTTCATATTGTCACGACTGAATGCCGGGCAAGAGGACGATGAAGTGATGAGCGTGAACAGCACCCACGGTTGCTCCGAGAAAGACGACGTCCAAGCGACTCCTCCTTTGTTCTGTTAATGCAGACCTTGTTTTTCCTGGTCGCACCCGCGTCCTATATCCTGTTATTTTCACGTCGCGACATTAGTGGAGGTGCTGGACTTCTCCAACTGATGCTTGGGACACCTCCGCACCCTGGTACTTCGAGTCCGCCACCGCAACTCGTTCCTGCAGTGGATACTCCTGTCCACCACTACAGTCGCCAACAGCGAGGCCTTAGTCCCGAGGCAATCCCCCTCGAACTTCTCCAGCAACACACAGTGCCTGGAGAAATGGCTACTGGAGGGCCTTCACAGCTTACTGTTGAGCAGCCTCAAATTCCTGAGACCTTTCACGGTGAGGTCTATGAAGACGTTGAGGACTGGCTAGCCCAGTATGAGCGAGTCACCAAGGCCAACCGCTGGCCCACTGAACAAAAGCTATTGCACATCTATTTTGCTTTGGCAGACAGCGCTCGTACGTGGTACGAGAACCACGAGTCAAAGCTGTCTTCATGGGATGAATTTTAGCAGCAAATTTTTGAGACATTCGCAAACACCGATCGCCGGGATTCTGCTCTGCAGCTCATCGAGGCACGCATACAAAAACCGAATGAGAGCGTTGCCATGTTTGCGGAGGACATGACCCGCCTGTTTGGGCGGGCTGACCCCGAGATGCCTGAAGGTAAAAAACTCCGACATCAGATGAAGCGCCTCAAAGAGGAGCTGTTTGCCGGTCTACTACGCAACCCGCCGACAAGCGCAGCGGAATTTATCAAAGAGGCTACGACAATCGAGCGAGCACTGCAGCAACGGCGCCGATACGACAACCAACCAAACAACACATTTCCCAGCCTCTCTGCTTTGACTGCCAGCAGCGAGTGTTCTCTGCGTGAGCTCATTCATGAGGTCGTTCGTGAGGAGATCCGAAACCTTCTTGTGACTCCGCAAGAAAATACCGTGGCTTGCATTGCAGAAGTTGTGTGGCAAGAACTCCGCCAGGCAATTTCGCTGCCCGAATCGCTTTCAGACCAGCGGTCTGTGAGCTACGCACCGGCCGTCCGTCGACCCACTCCAGTGACATACAATTCGACACCACTGCCTTATTGCGATGTCAGCTAAGGGCCTTACAACGAGCCGTGGGCCCCAGCTTCCAATCCACCATTGCCGTATCCACATCCTAACGTACCTATGCAAACTTCGCCGATGTACACTTCGTCGACATTTGCATATTGGTCGCAAAGAATGCCCACCAGTCGACCATTCATTCGTAAGACGGACTTATGGTGCACCGTCGACCGTCGACTACTTTGCTTCCATTGCGGAGAAGCCAGCCACGTTTTCCGCATTTGCCCATACCGTGACCATAGACATCAGAACTTTCTACAAACCTCCCCTCGTGCTTATTTCGATAACCGCCGTGACAGTAGTGCAGGCCCGCAAGCACAGCCACCTGATGTGCCGTATCACTGACCCTGCTCTCCTTCTCCTGCACCTAACTCGCCGCAGCAGCGCAGTTACGCCGAGGTGGCCCGGGGCAGATCCCCTAGCCCTCGTCGGGGAAACTAACAGAAGCGACCTTTGGGGGGAAGGTTGCCGCCCGTCAAAATGCTATCACACCCCCTATGTCTTCACTACGACGCGATACGACGGACGATACCAAGGATGATACGATGCCACTGACATCAACGGAAATCGTAAGCGCCAATCTAGCTATTTGTATAGACGGACGCCCAGTAGCAGCGCTGGTATATACTGGCGCGGACTTCTCAATTATCAGCGGTAAACTAGCCGACTGCGTAAAGAAACTCAGAACAATATGGACGGGCCTGAACATAAGAACCGCAGGGGGTCAATTAGTAACGCCGACGGGCAAATGTCCCGCTCAAGTTAATATTGGCAGTTCGGATTTCATCGCTACTTTCGTAATTTTATCGGAGTGCTGCAAAGACCTCATTTGGGCATGGACTTTCTGCGTGAATACGGTGCCATTATCATCATTCCTGATAGATCGGTTACGTTTTGGATGGCCCCAGGTCAAGTATCGAATGAGCCTTGTACAGACCAGCGACGTAAACTTTTGCGCATCTTCGACGACGACGTGACCATCCTGCCGCGGTCGAGTGCACTCGTGGCTGTGACATGTGACGCGTCGAGTAATTCTGAAAACATCGCCGAGCAAATTTCAACACTGCTATTTAGCCATGGTTTATCTATCGCAAGAGGCGTCGTGAGCATAAAATGCGAACACACACACGTCCTTGTTACGAACTTCAGCTCTGAACGCCGACATCTGACGAGGGGCATGGCAGTCGCGTACATGGAAGAGCTCGCCGAGATGACAGACTGCCCAACTCTTGAGAAAGATAATTCAACTGATCGGCCCCCCCGCACCTCTATCTGTTGATATTGGCCCAAATTTGCTACCGGCGCAGAAGCAAAGTATCCTGCAGCTTATTCAGTTTGAAGATTGTTTCTCTTTGACGTCCGGGGTCCATCAAACGCCACTGACGAAACATCGAATTATAACGGACGAGATGACCAGACCCATCAGGCAAAACCCGTACCAAGTAGCTCCGCGCGAACGTCAATCCATCGAAAACTAGGTGCGACAGATGCTTGAAGATGATGTTATTCAGCCGTTGAAAAGCCCTTGGGCTTTGCCGGTTCTGTTAGT